TCTCTCTGTGATAGACTGGTGACCTGTCCAGTATTCTGACTCCCACCCTATTACATCTGGGATAGGTCCCAGCCTCACTGCAACCCTGGTAAAGATAAGAGGATGGATGGAGTGCAAGGTATTATAAATCCATTAACATTTTATGTTAACCAGACTCTAGACTTTGTTGAACACTCCAAAAAACAACTCTTTAAATGAACTTAAAATAAATGGATTAATAAATGGATTTCTATTACGAATAAGCATGTTTTGTTGCACTAACGTAATTTGCATGGGTTGGATCAAATCAATTAAATTAAGTTGGACTCAACTGTAGTAAAACAGTTGATTCATCATTAATTAATTAATTAAGTTAGTCCAACTCAAGTACATTAAGTTGGAATAACAGAATTGCATAATGCTAAAATAAAGCAATTTAATTATGTGGAAATTCTTTCCATGATTTTTTTATGTTCATTCAAAGAGTTATTTTTTTGAGTGTGTTACAGTTTCAATGACTTGCATTTTTCTTTAAATAATAAAATGAATACGTTGAAATGTGGGTTTACATAAATTTTACTTGCCCGAAGGAATTTTCTTGTGCTCTTAAGTAAATAACAAAACGTGTGCAAACACACAAGCACTGTTGCTTCACATCAACACTGGTTCATTTGTACAGTTGTTGTTAATTTATTTATCAAATGATCAGAAAGCCCAGGAAAATGATCTGCAAAAACAAATCTTTACTGCATACAGAGTGACTGTACTTAAGTACATAGTCACCTCCAGAGCCCCATTCTTAGCCAGGAAAAACCCCAATTTAGATACATTTTCAGGGTCTTTGTTTCATACACCATCACTCAAAGCTATTTAGTTAACTAACATGACTAACATAAAAATAATAATGAATTAATTACAGTTTAAACAAATAAAATAAATAATATTACTTATATTAATCATTAATAATAATGAAAATATAAGCTAGTTGATGAGGTTTCAGCTCTGGAAAAATTAACTTTGTCTTAATGTATGCTCAGTTATCCATGTAAGGAAGTCCCAAAAAGTTGACTCTGTTTTTCTCGATGCAGCGTTTTCAGTGGGAGAAATGTTTTGTTACTCACAATTTCTTCAGTGTTAGACTGATTTTTTAAAATTTAATTTAATTAATTACAAATTTGAAACACAAAACTATGGTATAATTACTTACACTGAGACATTTAAATAAACAGAAATACATTTTAATTATAGTTTAATTAATGGAGTTAAGGCTTTTCTCATAACAGACTCAACTATGCAACAGACACTAAAATAATAAAAACCTCTTTCACATATGCCAAAGCAAAAAAAAAGTCTTTTTCGCAATTACATAGTGTAAAAGGACTTTTTGCAATATAATTGCTGAAACTGAGAAAAACTTTCATTCCTAGCGTCCTCTTCTGTCACATCAACCTGCATGTCCTCCTTGACTACATCTATAAAAAAAAAAATTCTGGTGTCTTCCGCTTTTCTTTCTGCCTGCCAGCTCCATCTTCAACATCCTTTGTTCAATGTATAGACTAACCCTGAACTCCACATGTCCAAACAATTTCAGCTTTGTCTCTAAAGCTGAGCCATCCCTCCTGGTCACTCCCAGTGACAATCTAACATCTTTAGCTCTGCGTCTTATCTTATTGTCATTGCCACCGTCTCCAAAGCGAAAAGAAATCCATATCTAAAAAACAAAACAAAAAGATTTAATTGAAGGCACCAGTGCAATGCTGGACAGCATTTAGGTAAGTGACAACTCTGCAGTTCTGATTGACAAAAGCACAAACTGTTTTGATGAGTTGTGAGATTCAAATGAGAAACTCATCAGTAGTAGTGAATTATATGTAGAAACAACAGTTTACAAATACAACGAGAAAGGTGAATGTGAGTGCAGTGACGGGGTAACAAGCGGAACCTTTCTCATTTGTCTTGTTTCCCGACTGGCTTGGCTGGGCTGTTTTTTTCCGGTGACAGCCGGAAGTGGTAGCAGGAGGCTTGTGGAGGTGACCGAATGGCAGATAGCAGAATAATTCTGTAAAGATTTCGTTAGCGCCAAAGAAAAGCGACCAGAATTTGTTGATTTCAACAGTGTACGTTTACTCGGTGCCATGGGAGCCCACCTGGTCAGAAGATATGTCACCGAGACGGACACCGAACCCGACCCGGCGAAGAAATTCGAGTTCGACCCGCAGTTCGGCTTTGCAGAAAGGAAGGAGAGAGGTTGGTCTGCAGCTAGCAGCTCGGCCTCTTTTACAGCTGCATTATTTATTTTTTTATTTTTATTAATTGAGACTGGAATTGATTTATTAGCAGCTAGTTTGGCCTGTCAAGTGTTAGCTTACGTTAGCTTTGCGGTAATTTGTTGGTTAGCTTACCAGCTAACTGGTTTTGTTAGTTTGTCATGAGCTGTACCAGGATTTCGGCACAGATTACTCGTGAAGGGGATTCTTATCTCCGCCATCAAACTGAGTTTCTATTACAGAAAAAGTTGTGTTTTCATGGTTGCATTGCACAACTGGTTTAATCACTCACAGTTCAGATTAGGCTAGAAACTTTCTATGGACCTCTGTGCCAAGATACTTGGAGTCAGATGTACAAAAGTATACAAACAAAGTCTATACTGACAAAGTTTACTCTTCTCAAGAGTTTAGTTTGAGCATTATCTCTTTCGCAACAGTTTACAGAAGACCTGAGTGTTCATCAAACTACAATTAGACATCCTGTCTAGAAATTGCGGAAATTCTCGATTCTCATGGTGAATGGGCATCCCAAAAGCAACTTCAAAATGCCTACCTCTGACTTGCTTAACCTATATTTATGTATCCACTGTAATAAAAGTGACAGAAGCCAGTGCAACATTGCAGAAGTCCTCTAGGAAGCTCCTCAATACTACTTTGGGGAGATGAGGCAAAGCTTTCTAAAATACACAGAGAGATCCTTGGTCGGAAAAAATGACTTTTCCCAGGATACTATATTTAGCAGAGTTACATATTCATATAGCAACAACAATCATTTTAAAGAACTTTTTAATGCAGCGTAAAGAATTTGTACATTAAAGAGAACCCCAATTATCCAGCAGGCCACTTTTGACAAACACTTAGCGACGGTGGGAAAAAAGAACTCATTTTTAGTAGGAAGAGACTTCCAGTACAACCAAGTCCTTGGAGGAACTTCTGTCTCCAATCGCCAGATGGGGGGTGAGGGGAAAGGGTAGAGAATAAGAATGAATTTCCTGTTTGAAAAACAGTTCTGACCTCGACACAGCTGGCATGTTTTTGTGTGATATTGAAAAGGCTGTAAAGTTAAATCACCCCAGAAACTTTGATAAAATCAAACCATTTTGTGCAAGCAATGGTTTAAAAAGTGTCAGAAGCAACTACTTTTGTGATTCACTTAGTTTTTTCAGACTGCACTTTAACTGCTTTCTCAATATTTTCAATCAAGACATGAAAATGTTTGGTGATATTAGTTTAGCCATATTGTGTTTATCCATAATTGTGACTAAGAATAAGGTCAAACCAATTACTTTTTATTGCAAGCTTCTATATCATATTCTATTTAGCACATCGGGGTGTTTTACTTGGTAATGATTCACAATTTGTGTCCCTTTGTCAGAGATGATTGCGACACAGGAGCAGATGAACTTGGCCCAGTTGCCTGTGGAGCAGAGGGACTACTGTGCCCATTACCTCCTGAAACTCATGAAGTGCAAGAGGGACAACTGGCCCAACTTCTTAGCCTGCAAGCATGAGAGACACGACTGGGACTACTGCGAGCACCAGGAGTAAGTGCTTACAGTTGTATAGACATTGCTGTTAGTGCTCCAATTTAAAACAATAAATAATAATTAAACTTAAAAAAAAAAACATATATATATAAAGTGAAAACTGAGGTCTGCTCCTATGAGTAGATCTTTATTTATGGTAGATTCACTTTTTTAAAACTATTGATATTGAGGAAGCCTGTATTACTGTCAGATGTAAGTAAATCTTAGCCACACATGATTCATATCTAAAGTAATTATGAAGTCTATGAAAACAATCTGGTCATGTGGAGTCTAAAAAACACAAGGTCCATTTAGCTTTCCTTTAACCTCCTAAGAGCCAAACTCTTTCATGGCATGCATTTTTAATTTCTCTTTGCTATTTGGACTGATTGGGACCTGATGAATGTAAAAACAAAGAATGACCAGATTTGGTGTTATTTTTAAATGATTTGACCCGAAGAAAAACGAAAAAAAAAGAAAACCACATTAGAGGAAAATTGCAATAAAACACAAGAAAAAAAAGGCAGTAAAAAGTGGATATTAGGCCCTTGTAAAGACCAAAATACTAAATTTTGCTCTACACAACCCAAAATGTGATGTCCACATATGTGGATGCCAGGTCCTAGGAGATTAAATTTCTTGAGACCCCCACCAAAATGTTAAAGTTCTTGAACTAGCTGTACCAAAAAGGATTTTAACATGGAAGTCTGTGAGGATCAATTCACATTTGAAACTGAAGTTTCTTGCACTTCCTAATTTTTAAGCCTCAGAAATTCCTGCTCGGTATAAACAGAGCAACTTGTTTTCTTCTTTGAATATCAAAGCAACACAAAACCCCAGATTTCATCAATAAACTTCACCCTGATGCTTGTGTGTTTCTGCCTGCAGCTATGTGATGCGTATGAAAGAGTACGAGAGGGAGAGGAGGCTCCAACTGAGGAAGAAGAGAATTGAGGCTCAGGCTCAAGCGGCATAATCAGTTCATCCTCTGATTCTACTTCTTTGTATATACCTGCTACTGTTCACATTAAACAATATTGTTTAAGCTCTACATCCAGCATCTTATTACTGAAAATAAAAACTGATGTTATAAAAGACAACTCAGCCTATTCAGATGAACCATTTCACCATAAAATGATTTTGATTTATTTGATTCATTACTGTTTTAAAAGGTAATTTTCAAGTAGTGTAGATGTCATGAATTAACCTGAAATGACACAACCACATGTTGGTTTACTTTTTTAATAAATTACATCAGACATTAACAAATTAAGTTCTGTCACGGTTTCAGATTTGGATTTATGGAAATAAAAACTGAGAACTCTATACTGAATATCACCAGGTGCAAATTCAACCCCTAAACAACAGTACTGGATGAAAAAAAAGGAACTGTGGTGTCATATATACACTGGTTAGTTTAAAGGTGAAAACTGCTCTGGGAAAGCAAACATACATCAAAACTCAATTTACCAATCAGGGTTTGTCTGTCTTCAATAAAAAAATTTTTTAGAGCAATACTAGTGTTTTACATTCTCACACAAGACAAAAGGGGACAGATTACAGGAAGGGAAAACAAAGGTTGAACATCATGGGGAAAAAAAAAAAAAAACAGGCTCCTTTTTCCCAGTCCAAGTTCCAGTGTAGATTTTAAAGCAAGAAAAAGGGAGGGTTTGATTCCTACAAACAAGCAGTGCTGACTAGTCCTCTACAGGATGAAAGGCAGGATGGGCGAGCGGAGAGGAGGGTAGTCTCGGAACTCCTTCAGGTAGCTGCGGTGCTTCCCCTTTGCCCAAACGGTCATCTGGATGAAGCCCACCAAAGTAAAGAAGGCCACTGGCAGACACTGGGTCATGAGGGTGAAACCAAGCCAGGAGCCCAACTGCAGGAGGAAGGAGAAGGATGTGAGACATAAGCTTTCCTTTTCCCTTATCTGGTTCCTTTGTCACTACACTCCTACAGAGACTGTTGTCAACAGTGAGCAGTACACTGAGTTTTCAGATTTTTATGAATCCATATACATGTGATGGAAATGACTTTTTTTCATTAAAGATTAATGAGGTAACTACACAATGGATTTACTTTACAGTCAGATTAAAATCTGGTGGGATGAACAGATTTTTTTTTTCACCACCAATTGACCTATCTTCTAGACTTCAGATTCCAATCACTCTATTATCTGCTGTCAATTGTCAAACAGAGCTCCACCAATCCAACTACAAGTCCAAAAAATCTGTTGTAAGACATCAAAGGTCCTGGGTCCATAACCTGACCAATGAACAAAAATGAACTTTAGTTCTCTCAAGAAGAAAAGCCAGTTATGTGATAAAGATGTACTAATGCCACCAGAGGGCAGCAAACTCTTTGACTAATGCAGCAGTTCTGAACCCTTCAGACTTGCTCCCCCCCTTGAGAAGAAGGAAAAAAGCTGTTAACAACAAAACGGTCCGGAGTTGAATTAAAGCACAAGGAAAGCAAAGGGGGAGAGAGAGAGAGATTAAATCTGCAGTTTCAATCCATATTTTCCCCCAGACCTATACTGGCTCACCCCATAGTTTAACAAACTGAACATACTTCAATACAAGTGAGACACTACAATTTATATATTCAAGTGAGAGAACATTCAGCTGCATGGTTAAAGCATCAATGACCCTCTTAAAACTGATTTGTTACTAGAGTGGACAGCAAACCTTTAGCCACCAAAGTCATTAAACCTGTTACCTCATAGGTGTAGTTGGGACAGGAGACCAGCAGAAAGATCCAGGTGAAGGGGTTCTTGGTTGGATAGGGAATCTTCCTGGTCTTAGAGCCTGGATTTAGGGTGGGTGAATGAAAATTCAAAATATTTTCAATCCATGCAGTCATCTTTAGTTTTATTATTTGCTGACAGAATAATGTTTTGTTTAAAACTACTGAGACTGCAGAGAGACCACAATTTTATTTTTCAGTCAGATTCGGACTATGAAAATAGCGCGCGCACACACGCACACACACACACACACACACACACGGAACCAGGGTTCTATATGGAGTTCCTATATGAAGTTTTTATTTTACACTGAAAATGTCTAATGTCACATATTATACTTCATTATAACTTATCAATATCTTGAGGAAGTCACTTTTTGTTCATAGTCATAGGTATAGTTTGAGTTTGTCATTTTCTATTAGGAAATATTAAAATCATAATACTCTTCAAATATTATTTCTAGAAAGAGAAGAAAAGGTATGGAGATATTGATGTACAGATTCGACAGGTGTGTTTACCTGGTGGACGAAGGTTCCGAAGAGCAATGTGGATGGAGAAGTTGCCGATCTGACAGAACTGGAAAAAGAAACCATGTCACTCCTAACGTGTTAAATCAAAACAAAACAAAAAAGTGTTTTAAAAAAATCTAAGCGTAGAAATGTTCTTACCAAGAATATGATGAGGGCAATTCTTATCTGTTGCTCCCCATAAACTGCAAGAGAGGCAATCAATGTAATCAGCAAAGGGGAAAAAAAGAGTTACAATGACACACTGGCACGTGTGAGCGTTGATTGTAAGAAATTGTAGCTGCATGCATACTCACTGGGTGGCGTATATAGCGGGTGGTTGATGTAATAAGCCATCCATGCTGCAAAGCCCCAGTAGTAGGTACAGTTCTAAAACAGAATGTGACAGAAGCATTGTCAGCCCAACATTTTCAGTCAGAAAATGAAACACTTTTCATCTTGTACTGTACTTAAATCAGATCTACAAAAAACATATTTGTATGAGGTAAGGTAACATGGATGAATGTAAATGATATGCATTTTTAAATCACCTTGAAGATGTTGCGTAACGGCATTGTTCCATGAGAGAAGCGATGGACAAACAGCGTCTCCAGGAGTCTCTTAACGTAGTGGAAAGAGTGACACATACAGGCAAGACTGGAAAAATATAGGCACTTGATTAGACTTATTACATTTCTTTTTTAAAGAACTTAAAAAAATATTGGCAGCTGCTAGTATTTTTTAAGCCTTGCTGCCTCCCCGGGAGGGTGACAACAATAACCCATCAGCCTTTTTAAAATAAATAAATAAATAAAATAGGTGTCCTTCATTAAGTTGCAAACAAAGCAATGACTGCTTGACTTTGACTTTTGACTGCTTACAGCAAGTTTCTGGGGTTTTGTCAGACTACAGACTAGTTCACATTTAATAAAATCCATTTATAAACCGATGAACACAGTTTGTAGTCTACATCTAAAATTCTGGCAGGTCATTAGTTTGATCCTAAATGTGCAATGTTCACACTATACGACCACATTTGACACCACTGAGCTAAAATAAGGCAAATACTTTAATGTCTGCTTATCAGTGTTTGTATTTGATATACAATTAGGGATAAAACTCATCAGAAGTGTTTACAACACTAAGCTTACAATGTTGTTTACTACAACTAAAGCTTTATATTTAGATGACAGGCACAAGAGTGTTATCAATCTTCTATTTGAGCTGTTGAGATGGTCACAAAAGAGGACAAGCAGGCTCTGTTTGACTACCTAAGTGTTCTGAAAGTGTGTTTGAGACACTCACTGTACAACCCAGTGTTTACTGGTGGTAAAGTCATATTTGGGTGGGTAGATGAAGGGAACCCTGAAGTAGAACAACAGATAGATGACCAGTGGACCGGTGTACTCTGTTAGGAAAACCTGAAAAACAAACAAACAAAGGAACAAGAAAGATTAGTCAGAACTTTGGAGACTCAAACAATGAACATACACTCTCAGTCATTTTAACCTTGGTCATAAATTATTTTCCATCTGCTTGTCCTGCATCTCCCTGCAGAGTCAAAACAACCTTCACTGTCAAAGTGGACTTCTGTGTAGCAAATTAACCTCAAAGTTAGGTCTAAACGTCTGACCCACAAACACACACTCAATTTCTACACACAGGGAAAACTCTATATAGCTCTGCTTGATCCCACTTGCACTGATGTATCTGGGCTTGACAGGGCTGTTGGACCCATTCATGGCAGCACAATATGTTCCTGTCTTTGGAGCTGTCTTTGTGTTGTACTCACTGTGACCCAGCTGATCTGAGCTCCCAGGTCTCTGAAATAGAAGGTGGCTGTAGTCCCTACAGGAAGATGTTGCAGAACGTCCTCGTCCTTCAGAGACTTCCCCTCTGAAAAACACACGTTACTTAATATGAGATTTAAAATGTATTTAAAATAAATAAATTTAAAAAATAAATGATTTAAAGTCAGAAGGAAAACACTGATTTAAGTGGACCTACTGGGGTCGAGGCGAATGGACTGTCGGGCTGGGTACCACTGAGGATCTGAAACAAACAAAATCAGATCTTCTTAAGACTGTTTTGAAGTATTTATCTAGGCCACGTTAGAAGATTTCCTTGATCTTGACTTAGATTCATGAGACTGCAGACAGATGGCACTCACGGCTTTTGTGGAACATAGACTTGATCTCCCCGATGGTGGCATTTGGCTCAACCTACAAATAACATCACAATAAATAAGTGCAGGGACGTGTACATACAAAGGAACAGATAATAACCCTGTTTTCCATTCATGATGGTGATTAGGGGTAAATTTAGCTTTGACTGTGTGCGCACACCCCATGGATGTGAGCTATTTAACAGCTGGTATTAGGGTTTCAAAGAAACTTGGCACAGACACACACAGCCAAAGTACACAACCTCATGCCAGGCTGCCAGCAATGGCTCAACAACCCCCCAATATAAAAAAGGAATGACGACGAAACAGAAACACGAAGAGCGCACAAAGGTAAATATGGACATGAACAGTTGTTACGGGACAACAAACAGTGAAACCCTGGGGAATTAGCTTGAATCTTGTTGTTTAAAGTAATAATCACTGTCACAATTATTTGAACAAGTGGTTTTATCTGTTTAAGCTAAGGAGGCATGCATTCAAACAAAATGAACAACCAAAACAAAACTACAGTCTTAAAAAAGCAAGCTGCTTTTAGCAGGTTGACAGTGTGGTGAGTTCTGCTAATCTTAGGGCACATACTAACTTCTAATGTTATCTGTGATATGATTTATTTGGAGCAATGTACAATTAGGCAGAAATGAATTTAACATCTTTGTGTCATCTGACTCCAAGCATAGTGCCATTATAAAATCTGGCACAGACACAGTGGTCTCTTGCTATAACGCGGTTCACCTTTCGCAGCCTCGTGGATTTTTTTGGTGCAATTATGCCTGTTTTTCTTTCTTCCTTTTTTTGCGCATTGTGTTCTCCGCCCCGATTGGCTGTAGACCATTGTCAATCAATCTCGTGCTGTGTCTCCTGCACAGTATAGAATGCATTCAGCTTGTCAAATTTACATAAATCTTCAATCGCGAGCAGTGTGACTCTGAAGTGCTGTACTGTATGTAAGTTTTCTCCCTAACAAACACAACAATGTCCACGAAACGTTTTGCACCGTCAGGTGCCTTTGGTTTCATTCTATAATACAAAGGTTTGAACGTTGAGAGTGTTTAAACAAGAGAGAAAAGTGTGACAATGTTCATGCCTGTCTGAGAAAAGTGTATACTGAGGGGTTTTACAGCCTTAAAACATCTATAGTAACTGTAAAAAATAAAGTTGGCTACTTCGCGGATTTCACTTATCGCAGGTTATTTTTAGAAAGTAACTCCCGTGATAAACGAGGGGCCACTGTATACATTTCTACATGACAAAAGTGTCATATTGTTATTCCAACAACGCCATACATTTGATATTCTGGATATCTATAATTGAGCCATTTGTAAATATTAGAGCTATTTCTTACATTTTTTAACTTTATAATATATTGTCTTATTTAATTTAGTTCGGTCTGTTACTGTTCTTATGGTCTTAGAGCAACTGTAACAACATATTTTCCTCTGGGATTAAGTATTTGATTCTGATCCTGTTCCACTTACTAGTCCCCATAAAACTGAGACAAGCCCGGGCAAGTCTGACAGCGAGAGCTGTGCGTCAGCCTCTGATTTATTTACCTTAAAAAGGAGGTACTTCAACCTCCTCTAACAAACAAAACATACAAGAAAACAGTTTCTGCTGAAGATGGAAACAACAAACTTCTCTCACCAGTTAAGGTGAAAACACCATCAAGTACAACCAGGCTATGGAGGAGGAGATGGCAGCAACTGGTGGTCAGTGACCTTAATGTAAACAAATGACCCCAAGAATTGCTGGAGCACTCGCTAACTGCGCTGAATATGACAGGAAGAGCAAGCAGATTGAAAATGAAGGTTTTAAGAATCTCGTTAAAAAGCTCAACCCAAGCTTCAACTTCTTGGTACAAAATATTTTTTGTGTTTTACTATTTCACAATATTTTAACCACAATAAGGTTAAGTTAATTTAAAGACAGTTGTTTTATACTTCAACTTAAAATTTCCAGGGAAAACACTACCTAAGCTAAATTTGTGCTTACATTTGGTTTATAATATGTCACTTGATATACTGCTGGGTCACTACTATTGTACTATAACGCTGCTGCGGGCACCTTTTTCAGTAGACTCGCTCTTTGAATTAGGTACGGTCTCATAAACAGCAGTAGCTCATAACAAAAGGAAAATGTCTTTCATTTACTTTAACTTGCTAAAATGCTGCTGTTTGCAAGCTGGAAGAACAAAAAAAAAAACCCTGAAGAAACCGGCGTTCCTTCCAACCGCAAACCAGGGACCTTTTTTGCACATTGGGTGATTGTGAGAACCACTACACTAAGTTAAGACTAAAATGCCATTACAGTTTCTTAGCCAGGCCAGCACTTTTCAGTGTAGACAGTTAAGCAATGGTAAGCCATCTCTGCAATTGTCTTTAAGAAAGGATGAGAACTATTTTTTAAGCTTTAAATCAAACTTGCTGATTGCTTATTTCAGTGCTCACAAGGAGTGTAAGGAGATACTGCTTTACATTCTGTCATCATCTGCCTGTTGAAGTGTCGCTCCCTCGTCTTGGCTTTCAAAGATTGTGTGACAAATCAGTAGTAGACTGAGCAGGTCTGCTGCTGTAATTGACTTGACTTCTGTTCATGTCCCCCCGAAGACCACATGCCATTTTCAGCAGGATGACATCACTATCGTTGAATTAGATGGACCAACCACCTGTCTGAACTCCCACTCTTTCTGCAGGCCTCATTTAGTATGAAGTCAGTCAGTCAGTCATATACACACACCGAGCCAGACATAATACAGAACTTGATTTTTATTTTATCTTTTTAAAAAAATGTGTCAGACAGCTAGTCAGTTTAGCTCCGTTAGCCTACTTTGGAGGACCAAACCTCTCTCCCAAAGGGCCTTCTGTCCAGATTCCAAATCTATATCTGTCACATCTGTCAAGCTGCCTCCAAAGAGGTGATAAGATTGATGATGTTATCACCATAGAAACTCTGCTAAGCTGACAACAGAGTATAATCCAATAAGGATACAACCTTACACTCTGCATTCCTGAGGAGTAGCCTTTAATAAGCAGAGTCTGCCGTGGCTGATCACACCGTGAATTTGACTAATGCAACTCTACACTCACCGGACTCACACCAACAATACACTAAACAGTTCTAATGCAAGAGCAATAACCTGCAGGCTGAGCACTAACAATTTAAATCTGTCAAACATTACAATAACATAAGCACAGGGGGAGTAGAAATAACTGTAAATATGCCTGATAAAGTTGGCTTAAACATCCTTTCAAAGTAAATATGGCTAATGCAGTGCTGATACCCACTTAATCCCAACTGTAAACACAACTGAAGTCCATCAGTCAACACATTGGTCAAATGTAACAGCAGTGTAAATGGTTTGTTGTATTGCAGCAGTGAAACAGGGCACACTTCAAAATTAAAAAGAAATTTAAAACTGATGTTAAATGTCAATGAATGTAAAGTCCAAAGCAATCTTGTACTAATTCTGCTTCTGTTGTGATAGATTTTATAGCTACTAAAGCTGTTAGAGTTAAACTGATGCAATCAACAGACTATTGTTCCTATTTTTTGTCTTAATATCTTGTGTATCTTCAAACAGGTTCAACCACATTTTGGAATAAACAGCACAAAAGCAGAAATATTTACATTTTTCAAAGACTGTAGGAGTGGTTAAATAGAGCCAAACCTGAATCTCATACATATACACACTTTATATATAAGATCAATATAATTCTCATGATTAATACCACTGACCAGACAGTGACAAACAAGGAGTAAATCTGAAAAACTACATATGTGCTGCAATACTGTAGTAGCTGCTCAATTTAAGGTGTATTTCTATAGTAGAAATCATTCTTTTGCTCTTATGCTGCAGTCACACTGTGGAAAACAGTGGTTAGAGACAACAGCTCCACCAAAATTACTGCAACATGTGCAAAACTGACTCCAGGTCTGTGAACACACACAGTTTGTAGCCTTCTTTAAAGTTTCTTTGGTGTGCAAAGATAGCAAAAAAATAGCAATAAGACCGATTTAGTTTGCTATTGAAAGGACTCGTGTTGGCAATTATACACAATCTGTTCGTGATAAAGTAGCAAAGATTGCAATGTGTTGCTGTCTGCATACATTGATAATCATATTAGCTACCTTCAGCCAGAAGCACATAGATTTGAAACAGAAATTCCTCAACAGATAGTGAAATTGTTGCTGCAGGACCCAGAATAACCAGAATACAACCAGTTGGCAACCAGTTGAATCAAGTCTCTCACTGCAAAGCGGTGAGTTGCAGATGAGTTACGGTCATCGACTCAGACTGATTCCGAATGATTGTTCGGAATCATTCGGATTCCGAACAATCGGATTCCGGATGCTGAAAGACTGTCTGTGTCTAGAAATTACACGGCTACTTGCAAACCATTGCCAATTTGCAAAACAAACAGCTGTTAGTCTGAGTTGGGCTGTGACTGTTTGGAGACAGAATGCCTCCCACCAGGTGTCCTGTAACCTTAAAAGTGCCCAAATGTTGAACTTCTGAGCAACCAGCTGTTCGTCACACCTACTTGTGATTGTTTACAATCAGATCAGATGACCCTGATGAAGGCCACAAGCCGAAACGCGTTGGTCAATTATTAAAGTTGTTCATCTTCCCTCGAGTGTTGCTGGAGTTCCTGCTTTGTGAATTGTTCACAATCACCAGGCAACCACTCAAGTGTGGTTCTGGTCATATTTTATAAAGTGTCATAGTGAAACATGGGAATGCCTTGAAAGTGTCTAGCAATATTTAATCATACATTATCAACATATTTCACTGCACATAAGCGCATGCAAGTCTAAGGCCATGCACAACTGTGATTGCATTTATATTGTAATGCCCAATGCTTTAAGTGAACCATCTGTCCGACCCCTCCAAAATAATAAGTGTGGGAATAAATACAAGCTACAGATGTAACACAAGACTGCATTAGGCTGCAGTTGTTACTCTTATTTTGTACGTCTTCTAGTATGTGCGTCAATAACCTCTACCATATCCAGATAAATAAAACCAGTAGCGCTGTGCTGTATGTATGAAAGGCACTTCAGTGTGTGCACCAGACAGCAGCACTCAAAGGCTGTGCACACCCACTGACAGACAGTGGGGACTACAGCTATAGCAGCTTTTCCATGTTCTAGAAAACACCTGACTTGCATAAAAAGACCATTCTACTGAAGTATAAGAAGAGAAATATTGGATCTATTGGACTGAGCAGAGAAGCAATGATTACATGTGCACAAGCAGTTTTTAAAAAGATCAGGTATCAAAGTAAGTTAGGTGTGAAAGTAAAATTAAAGTTGCATAAATATTTAAGAAAAAAAAGGTTCCACAAATGTGTAAAAAAAGAGGACTGATGTCTTACCTTGTCCAGGAAGCAGAGCTTGTCCTTGGTCTTGGCGTCCAGAATCTCCACCTCAAAGAAAACAACAGCCTTTTTAGTTTTTTTGGCAGGTTTGCGTTTACTCTGGGCTTGGACCGGCAGCGGGGCCGGCACTACTGCCCCGTTAGCCACCCTTTTGTTGCCTGTGGCCTCTAATGCTAGGGCATCCATGTCCACAGTTCTTCTCCTGCTCTCGGTTTATTCCCGTCTTCCCCTCAGTTCTCTCGTCACTCTCCACCTCTCAAATGTTTATCTCAGATGCAGACTTAGCTGGAGAAGAGAGAGGAGGCTCTCAGCTGTGGAAATAAATCTGTCTCTCCCTATTCCTCTCCCATTCTTTTACTCTCCCTCCCTCCCTGTCTGCACCCCACTCATTCCCTCACTTCTGTTGTGCCACTTTAACTCCCAGGCGACCCCTGCAGCACAAACATATGCTGCCTGTGTGTGTGTGCATATGTAGGAATGCCCAGTATTCCCCAGCTGTCACCTGTGTTTATCATTAAAGAAACTTCAGGACCTGAGAGCAGTAGCTTCCTTTCAGAGCTGCAGTGACTTGCATTTGAAATATAACTCGTTTCTAAAAACAGACGCCTGATGACCACTGACACTTCTCAACTCCCAGCTAAGTAGGATGATGAAGGAGAGGTAGAGTGACAACACCCCTTTCTAG